CACATTTTTGCTTATTGTTATGGCTTCAATTTTGCCACTAACACATAGTATTGGCCATGAATTGACAAACTCCCACTTCTGCTGCTACTAGGCATTTGAATCTTTATAAATATTCTTCCCACTTGCTAAAAATCTCTGCAAAGAATTGTTATGTAATATTTTTAAATCTTGGCTAATCTAAGTTGTTGAAATCTTTCAATCTCCCATTTGCTTTATGCTCTACTTGCTGCTATTTGTTAGTCAACACCTCTTCACAATCTAGTGCTTTGATGCAATGCCTCAAACATTTAGTGCATCCAACAAAAGCCTCCAACATTGCAAAAAAAATTTCAATCAAGAGGTTCATCCTCTTCTTCCTCAGTAGCCTCTTGGCCAACAAATGCCATCCATAGGATCAAAGAGCCAATTGCTCCAATACAATAAAATAAGAACAACAAGAAAGAAGAATTTTGTGTATATCATGTATATAGATGGGTATATATCCATAAAAACTACTACCATCTAGGCATACTTATATGCCACATCATCTCTTCTGGGACACAGGTGTATGTATGTTCCGGTCCAACTGAGGCGTGTGCTCTACAGTGGAGCCAGCATCAAAAGGAGATTCTCAGCAGCCATGGCTCAACCAGCTGTATGTGTGGAAGTATCCGTCGATGATCAGGATTGCCGAGCTCCAGGGCCATACTGCTCGAGTGATCCATTTGGCACAGGTTTATCACCAAACAATTCACAAATTGTTTTCTTCTTCTCCAGCTTTTGCCAGTGGCTTTTCCTGTTTTGCGTGTAGAGCCCCGAGGAAACAACGGTTGCATCTGTGGCCGCGGACGAGACGCTGCGCTTTTGGAGGGTGTTTGGATCGGCCGACAAGAAATGTGGCAGCGACATGAAACCCGGTGGCCTCTCCAGAAGCGCCAGTAGCATTCGATGAGTTGCATGCATATCATGGAGACTTTGTATTTGTAGAACCTATTGAGTTCTCCACTTGCCTCTCTAAGCCACGGCAGCGAAGCGATCTTCTCGAGCTCACTACAAATAGCTGCTTTAGTTTCTCATTTTGGGCATTTTGAAACTAACAGAAGTTAGCACCCCAAGTAAAGTAGCGCTGGGTTCTTGCCTGTCTGCCTCCGCGTCGCGTGACTTTACGAGAACTTTGACACCGTCCTCGGTCTAGAACTCGATTCCCGTAAAGGCATCTCATGATCATGAGGCCGGAGAGAAGCACACCCAACACCGTTGGTTGTTCACTTAGCAGTCTGGATTTTCTTCTCTGCCCGGACAAGTTCAGCATTGAACGCGGAGACTATTGGAATTCGCATGATGCTCCATGGTTGCGTAGGTCTTCTTTGCTCCTCTGTGGCCACTCGGTCCTTGCCTTTCCGCATGAGAAAGGCTGCTTTCGCATTCGCAAGAGATTCATCCACGAGGTCCACGTAGCCAACGGGATCAATGACTGCAACGCCCCACCACCTCAGCCCCAGAGCAAGGAACCTTGTTGTGCTTAGTCCTTTTACATTTCGTAGCATGGCTCCCCACGAGACGGTGGTGTACGTGGTTTGTAGCAGTCTGTCCTTTACCTTGTTGCAGCTGCTCCTGGACATCGTCAAAGGTAAAACTTTAGTGTTAGCCCGATATGGCATTTCCCAGCGGCTTGTGAAGCAAATTCAACCCACCGTCGCCTTCATTGCCGAGGAACTCAGGTACCTGAGGACAGTGTTTCCAAGCCTCTCCGTTCTCACGCACTTGGCTCCTCGAGCTGGCGAAGTTGTCTCTGGTGAGCCCGATGCAACGCAGTGCAGGACGAAGGTTTTTTCTCCTGAATCTGGCTTTCATCATTTCCATGTTTAGCCAACGATCTGCAACTGAACCAACGTTCCTGCCCTGCTCATCGATGCCAAGGGACACCATAGATCATGCGTAACCTCAAGCTGGGAAGAAACTGTCTTGAGAGCCTAGAGAATATTTGTAACGATTCACTAAATCCCAATTGGTGCAGTTTCAAGCATGAACGACGTAATGAGGCATCGAGGATTTTTATGTATAAATTTCAAACTTTGCGTTCCACGCATGAGAATGTGCTCGTGCATTGTAATAAGAACTCTGCTTGTTTCGGCTACCCTGCCTTGAGTCGTGTAAGCATACGAGATGATGTCCCATTCCCCGTTCCTCCAAAGCAGCATCTTGTCGAACACACACTTTGCATCATGCTCCAAGACAATCTCGGGTTGCTAACTTCTCATTTCACAAGATGCCCTCACTTGGGGTGTTATCTCCTGGAACATTTTGTTCTGGGAGATTTTTTTTTCTGACTGGACAATCGTCGTTAAAGTTGATGCCATCGTTGAAGTCATTCGCTGATAGCAGCAAATGCCTTGGTGGTCATCCATGTGGCAGTTGACACCATGCCTTCTGCGACGAAGTTTTTGGCCCGGACGACAATGTTGGCGGCTTTCGCAGGTCAAAGAAACATGGAGAAAGCACATGAGATGCTTGGAATAATCCAAGTTTATGCCCAGAACGGAAACATCTTTGCCACACAGGAGAAGTGGAACTACGTTGCAGAGTGATCAGACACACCGAACGAGCTATCCAAGTTGCCCACTTTGACTATCTTCACGGCAGCCAGTGGATATTCCTAGTTAATGGAGCATAATCCACGTGGCGCCAGCGTGGCCACGGATGATGACGGAATCGCTCTATTTGGTGTCCGTCTGGCAAACAGAGGCGATTTTACTCCCTTTTTTACCCATAAATCTTTCGCGTCAGGGTAATTGCTTGCGTGCGACAGGGAAAGAGAGAGAGGAGGGCAGCATCGCACAGGGCAAAGAAAGGTGAGAGAAGACGAAGAGCAGCGGAGGGGCAGGGCTTCTTCTCTTCCTTCTCCCTTTCTCTCTGCCCACGCAAGCGCAGGCGCAAGCGATCGAGCGATCCCCAGATCCGGCATTGCCCTCTCACTGCGCCGCCGCCGATCGAGCGAGGAGATTCGTGCGTGTGGGGACTTCTTTAACTCGAGCGCGCTGCGAATTGGAGCTAAGCTTACAGGTTTGAAGGAGCGAATGGATGTGAATTACACTGGGTGGGCGGTGGGCTGCTACTAGATTGCGCTCCTCCTCCCTTCCTTTCTTTTGCTTCTCGGGGATGGCGTCCATAGCGGCAGATCAGATTTCCAAGCTCTGCCCTTGCTCGTCGCGCGTGGACGACATACTGGATCGCTCGGGTGAGGAGCGGCTTGCTAGAACGGGCGGAGGGCCTCAGGATCTCACGCTCTCGCAGGAGGAGGCGCTTAACAGGTTTAGATCGCTGCTGGTGGAGCACAATCTGGTGCGCAAGCGCGACACTGACTGCGATCTCTTGCGCTTCCTGCGAGCTCGATCTTTCGATGTCGCCAAAGCCAAGGCCATGTACGAGGCAATGCTGGACTGGCGCATGCAAGTCGGGGCCGACACCATTCGAGAGGTAAGTACTCCAAAAACATTCCTTTTTTTTTTTTCCGGTGTGTTCTTACTCTTTTTTTTTCGGTGTGTTCTTGGATTCGTTGGATCTGCTTGCTCGTTCCAGACATTCGATTTCCCGGAGAGGAATTTGGTGAAAGATTTGTACCCACATTTCCATCACAAGACGGACAAGCTGGGGCGACCCCTGTACATCGAGAAACTGGGGCAGCTCCAGGTGGACGAGCTGATGAAGATCACCACCATGGACAGGATGATGATGGAGCACATCCAAGAGTGGGAGATTCTCATCGAGTGGAAGTTCCCGGCGTGCTCACGCAAGGCCGGCAAGACGATATCACAGTCGCTGGCCATCCTCGACTTGAAAGGAGTGGTGAGTGTTTCTTTCCATTCTAGAGGATCTAGCCAGGATCTAGGTGGTCTATCGATCGCTTGCTCACTCAGCAAACAACGCTTTTGATCTGGCAGACGATGAAACACATGAGCAAGCAAGTCCGGCATTTCATCCAGAACATCTCCAAAGTGGACCAGGACTACTACCCCGAGTTTCTGGGCAAGATGTTCATCGTCAACGCTCCCATGGCGTTCAAGGCCATCTGGACGGTGATAAAGCCGTGGCTGGACAAGCGCACGCAGAAGAAGATCGAGGTCCATGGCAGCAACTTCGCTCCCAAGCTGCTGGAGCTGGTGGACAAGCAAAACTTGCCCGAGTTCTTGGGTGGCAGCTGCCGATGCCCGCAAGGCTGCGAGTACTCGGATGCCGGGCCTTGGAACGAAGCTCGCTACCACATATCGGCCTTGGCGGAGGAACAAGACGATGGAGCAAGCTTTGGCGATTGCCGCCACCGGAATGTCAAGGACAAGGGACCCATGCAGTGGTCGTGCCTCGACACTTAGTCGCGACTCCAGGGATGAGTTATGGAAATCCGGGGAGAGAAGCACTCACTCGAGCAAGCGTTACAATCCAATCAAAATTAAACTTGGTTCACTGGAGCTACCTCCGAGCGAGTTCACAGAAGTTGACAGTCGGCAGTGCTAGGTAGACCTTGGATAGCATTGCTGCCTTGGAAGTGATGATACTACAGAGATCTACACACGAAAGAATCCTGGATTTTGTTGTGGCCGGACCAGCCAATTGAAAAAAACAGTGACACATCTTTTTTTCTCTCTAGCCTCGATCGTCTCCAAAATCCCTCTCTATCATCTATAGCTAGCCAGGACAATAAATGCAAGTATCAGGAGATCAACAGGAGAAAGAATGATCCTGCCATCCTGGGCGCGTGGATTGACTCTCTGCGGGTGTAAGATGGACTTTTTTAGTGCGATGGGTCAACGCTATGTCAACGTCCATGATTTACTCGTTGTCCGAGGCGATTAGTCGTTAACCTCTCGGTTGATGGGGTTTTGTTGTTTGTGCGGAGGGAATACTCTTTTTGTTCTTGTTTTTTTGGACGCGAATCAAAAGCACATTATTCCTACAAATGCATAGAATCTAGCTCATTGATCGAGAATCGCTTCCACTAATGGACGTTGTGAAGTGCTCGCCTTGTAGCCTCTTCGATCATGCAATTATCAAGAGCGGACGAGGAGGAGGAGGATCGAGCAACAACAACAGGGGATGCGCAGCTCTGGGAGTGAGCAGATCACCATCGCCCAAAATGTAAGGAGAAATTATCTATCCATGGGTGAATAGTATTTTTCTTCTTTGTTTTTTCTGCAAACAAGACGCATGGCTTCTCTAAGAGCGGCCCTGCCCCTGTGGTCCGAGGCAGCGGCAAGGAAGCTCGAAGACATGGCGAAAAGCGGCGGCTTGGATCAAGCTTTCGGGGAATTTGGTGCAGGGTCTTTTCTTCCTCCTGCCGCCACTGCCGCTCTACTGGGACTGGCGCTGCTTTGCATCACCGTCGCCATCTTACACAAGCATTCTTCGAAACGACGCCGCAACAATCTACCGCCAGGTAACCATTCAATGATCTAAGTTGTTCGAGCATGCATCTGTCGATCAGCCAAAACATTACTGTAGAGTTTGCTTGTGTGTGGCAGAGGTGCCAGGGCTGCCGTTTGTTGGAAACCTCCTCCAGATGACGGTGGAGAGGCCACACCGCAAGCTTACAAGCTGGAGTAACGAGTATGGGCCGATCTACACCATCAGGACCGGCCAGAAATCCCAAGTCATTGTCAGCTCGCCAGAGCTCGCAAGAGAGGTGGTAAACAGCATCTTTCATGGCAAAGCTAACTCATTGGTGGCAGGCTGTTGTCGCCAAGTATTCCTCCATCTCCAACAGGGATTTGGGATCAAACCTTACCATTCTTACCAGGAACAGGAAGATCGTGGCAATGAGTGACTATGGCGATCGGTATAGGATGCTCAAGAGAATGGTGGTGAACAACTTGCTCGGACAAACTTCGCAGGTTACTTTGCTTGATTTATTCTCTAAATCACATTTCCTTTCAGAAAGCTCTGCATGTTCAGCGCGAAAATTACTTGGGAATTGCACTCGACGGCCTGTTTGATGAGCTCGGGAGGTTTCCTGGTTCTACAGGTCAGGTGAACGCCAGAGATTGCATTGCCAACTTTCTCTTCCGTTTAGGAACGCACCAGGCAAGTGTAAAACATCTCGAGGAAGAGCTAAAGTTTCGTGATACGTAGGTTTTTGGCCGAGATATCGAGAGTGTTAGAGTTCCAGAGCTTGGAGCAGAGGTGACGAGATGGGAGATTTACCGCATCCTTGTGCAGGACGTGATGAAAGCGGCCGTCCAGATCGATTGGAGAGACTTTTTCCCGACCCTCAAGTGGATTCCCAATTGGAAGTTTGAGGATGGGATCTACAAGGTGGAGCGCAAGAGGTCTGCGGTGACCAAAGCATTGATGGAGCAGCACAGGCAACTCTCTCGCAGCCAGGTTTGTTTCTGTTGTTTATGAGACGCTAGTTTATTCACGAGGTTTGTGTCTTCTACTTTGCAGCAGCGAGACAAGTGCTACTGCGATGTTCTTCTCGACAATGAATCACACTACAGTGAGGACGAGCTGTTGCTGGCTGCGTGGGAGCCGATCATTGAGAGCTCCGACACGACACTGGTGACATCCGAGTGGGCTCTCTACGAGCTGGCCAGCGCTCCAAAACTACAGGTAGCAAGATCGACCATCACAATATACACTGGGAAGCTAACATCAAAACTTTTGCAGGAGAAGCTATACAACGAGATCAAACGCGTGGTGGGAGATGAGCGGATGGTAAGCGAAGACGATCTTCCAAATCTTCCCTTCCTCAACGCTGTCATCAAAGAGACGCTGAGAAAATACAGCCCCGTTCCAATTCTACCCCCGAGATACATACACGAGCAAGTCGAGCTGGGTGGCTACACCATTCCGGCTGGCTACCAGGTGAGTGAAAGCCAAAGGTTTCTTGTTCATAGCTCGATCACAATGTAAAAATTTCCAGCTGATTGTCAACATCTTTGGAATCCACCACGACCCGAAACGCTGGAGCAATCCCGAGACGTGGGATCCATCACGGTTTCTAGGAGTCGAAGGTGGCAGCTTCGACATGGGATTGACGGACATGAGACTCATGCCCTTTGGCGGAGGCAAACGGATTTGCGCCGGGATGGCCCAAGTTTTTTACGTTGTTCCCATGATCATCGCCACTCTCGTCCAGCACTTCGAGTGGACTTTGCCGCAAGGTGATATGGACAAGAGGAATGTTGTGGAAGACACGGTCTATCTCACCACCCAAAAGCTGGAACCTCTCCAGGCCTGTGCCAAGCCTCGCGTGCCTCGCAGGCTTCCTTCCAAAACGCTCAACGCCGTTCCTTCCAACAACAAAGTCCCAAAGCACAAGCATTGATGGTGGCTGCCTTTCCCAAAGGAGGGCGAGAAGTGGAGGATAGAATCTCTTCTTCTTTTTTCTTCCACCGCCTTTAGGTGAGCCACATTGCGTAGCTATCTAGCCAAACAAGTGAGTTGCTTTATGGGAAAGTCTTGCGTGACAAAGCGCGTCTCCTCGTCCTCGACTTCGTGTTCCTCTTCGTGTTCTTCGTGGTGGTCTCAGACAACACAGAGATTTCTTCTACTCATTGTTTTGATTTGTTTAGTTCAAGTGGAGGCCACGAGCACTCCAGCTCCAGCTCCAGCCACAGCTCTAGCAAGCAACAGTCTCCAAGGTAAGCAAGTCGCAAGATCTATACATACTTCACACTTTTCTACAATGTAGAGCCAAGCTTCTTAGTACTCAAAAGATCTTCGGCAGGCAAGGCTTGCATCGCTCAAGCTCGAGGGCGAGGAGCCGGAGTGCCAGTAAGCTCGTGCCACAATGGAAGCGAGCGGAATGGCATGCTGTGCTACAAGCAGTGCTCCGCAAACCACACCGGAGTCGGGCCGGTGTGCTGGAGATCGTGTCCGAGCGACACCCGCGACATGGGCGGTGTTTGCTGGAGCTCCTACGGCAAAGGATGCTGTTGCACAGTCTTCGGCTGCTGCGGAGGCTGCAAACCAGGATACAAGGACGCCGGATGCTTCTGCCGGAGATCTTTCACGAAACATTCGTATGGACGAGGGGCCGGAACTCCGCTAGTTTGCAAGCCCGATGAGGAAGAGAATGGAGGCCTGTGCTACAAAGCTTGTCCGCAGGGATTCGCGGGCCAGGGCCCGGTTTGCTGGGAGGAAGCGAGCTCTGTGTCGCGCGCATTCCCACACAAGTGCAACGCGGTACTCTACACGGTTGACAGTGCTACCTGTGCCGCCATAGCCGCGGAGCTCGCTAAAACTGGGAGCTTCACCGCCGTTTGTGTCGCGCTGGGACTGGCCGTCGCGTTCGCTGCTCCTGGAGCGTCACTGCTCATGCCGGCCGCTTCTTTCTTCTGTGGCAAATCCTTCGACGCCATCGTGGAGCAAGCGCAGCACATATTGGAGATCACGCAGGCTAAAGCCTGTGCTGCTGCCTAGATTCGTTCCACTCATATAACTTGAAAAATACCTCGTGGTAAGAGCGAAAGAGGTGTTTGTTTCTTGACGTAGCTAGGTACGATGGAACACAAGATATGTTTTTCTTTAGTTATATCGATGCCATCGTTGGTTAAGTAGCTATGGAAGTTCACTAGGAAGAGATAGCAGCGTTCTGCAAGAGCAAGCACCAAAGCTTGTCAGGGAAAGGAAAACATGAGAAGCGAACTTGCCTGTCAGCTGGAAGACGCGGGAGTAGCCAGAGTGAGCTGCAGCCGATCGGAGATGGTGGCGTTCCTCCCTGGAGCATTCGAGTCATTAGTAGCCATGGCTTGTAGCCTGGTGATGGAGCTTGTCATCTCCAGGTCCAGCTCGTGTAAGCTCCTCTTCCGCTTGCCAGTCTCCACCACAACACCACACACGCTCGACGAGCAAGGCGAGCATTGCTGCTGTTGCTGCTGCTGCTGCTGGTGATCCTCATCCACATCGCCATTACTGTTGTTGGGGGTGGTAGTGTTAGCAGCAGCAGCGGCGGCGGCGGCAGTGTTGGTGGCGTAAAAGTTATTGTCACGCTCATGAAAGCCGCCGCCAGCGTGGAACACCATATGAGCGTGAGCGTGATGGCTGGCCAGAGCCTGCGCCTGCTGTTGCGCTGGAGCTGTTGGAAATCCGGATCCAGACGAAGCGAGCGGCAAAGATGCTGCTGTTGCTCCCGCTGGTTTCATCCACCCGCCACCGCCACTGTCCACAAAGTGATGGTGGTGCTGCTCCAAGTGGTGCTGGTGCTGGTGCTGGCCATAGCTCCTTCCAGCGGTGGGAGTCGCGGTCCCGGACGAAGAGATGGTTGGGACCATGCTGTTGGAGCCAAAGCCACTGAGAATCCCGGGACTGTGGTGGCCGGTCAAGTTGACGCTCACGTTTGCGTGATGGTTGTTGCTTGGAGCAGCGCTAACAGCGGCAGCGGCGGCGGCGGAGCTCGGATTCACCACCACTCGCATTCCATTGATCCACCTCCCGCTCTTGTTACCGCTATATCTGCTGAGGAGCTCCGTGACGTTGGGCTCCGAGTCACCAACGTCCGAGCATGGAGTCATACAACCGTCGGGAGTTTCGCAGGGACGAACAACGTTGGCTCTCGCGGCTGACGGACTCGGAATGGCCGGTCCGACGATCACCGGGCTCCAGCTCCCGCTCGCGTTTCCATACCCGGTCGTGGAGTCGAGCCAGTGCTCGGCCATGGTGACTCTGTCCCACTCGGCCTGCTGGTGGTTCTTGACACCCGTGGGATGGTGAGCGTGGACGAGAGGCGCTGGAGCTATGGCACCACCTCCGCCGTTAAGGCTGAAAGGCTTGCTTCCTTTGGGAGAGCTCAGCGGTGGCGTGACTGGAGCGCTTGAGGCGCCGTGGAAGCAGCTTGTGGGAGTGGTGGTGCCGGACAGACCTTTGAGCCAGGGTATCAAGGAGGCGCCGGACGCGGTAGTGGTGCCTTGCTCGGTGGGAGTCGTGGTGGTGAGAGTGTGACCATTGCTGCCACCACCATGGTACGAAGAAGTCGGGCTTGGACTCGCCGGGGCCGACGCGCAAACTTCCATTCTCTCCACGGGCTTGGCACCCTGCATAGTACCACCACTCTGTGAGTCACACTTGGCAGAGAAGCCCTCTCTCTCTTTCTCTCTCTCGCTTCTAGCAAGCGAAGAACACATACCTTGCGATAGGTGGTTCCATCCTCCTCCACGACCCATCCGGCCTCGGCACACAGCGCCTTGAGAACCTCATTGTTGTCGCAGTGCTTGGGGAGCTTGTAGTTGCCGAACTGGCGGAGACCCGAGAAGATCTTGGAAGCGATGGCTCGCCGCCGCCGCTCGCGCTTCTTGTTGTTCTCCCGCTCCTTCCAAGTGGGAAGCCGCGCGCCCGAAGTCATGGCCGAGTGGTGGGGAGAGTGGAAGCAAAACTCTTAACTATTCTCCCAGATCTGATAGATGGAAGGAAAACGAGCTAAGCGAGAGAAATGCCACAAGCATTGCTACACAATACCTGGAGCTGCCGCCACAACTAGCTCGCCCTCATCGCTCGCTCGCAAGAGAAACGATTCCAAAAACCTCTCATTGCCATCACGCCGCGACGGCTGGGCAGCGGCGCTGCCGAGGAATGTAGCCTGGCACCATGAGCTAGAGCTCCACAGCAGTAGCAGCAGCGCGCACGCTACCAAGCACCGCCTAAAATCCCCCAAGAAACACGCCAAAGCTAGCCGGGTATGGCGGGGGCGCGGAGTGAAGAGAAGAGAGAGACGAAGAACACACTCTCTCTCCTCTCTCTTACCGTACGGTAGGGCTTCCGTGGGGCTAGCGGCGCTAGGGTTCCGTTAAATGGGGCCGTCACGTGCTGCGCGTGCGCCCGTGCGGCCCGCATGCGCACGTGCCGTGGTGGTGCCCATGCATGCATCCGGCCGTGCGCATCATCGATGGCTACATTGTAGATAGTATCGTATTCTTCTTCTTCTACCTTTGCAATCGTATGGCATCACGCTCACAAGAGGGGAATGTGGATATGGATAGATGGAAAGAAGGGATTTATACTCTCATCCATACACTCGAATAATGCGCACCCATACGTGACGGGCATGACGGGCGTAGTGGGTGGCGGTTGCCTTGACCGCGAACACAAGGGATATTCCGTGCCCGCGACGCAAGGAAGGCAACGTGGGGGTGGCTGGTTGGCATTTAATAGGGGCGGGTCACATGCACATGTCATGAGCAACCCAACATATATATGTAAATAAAAAGTATGACATGACATGGCCACTGGCCACTAGACACACGTGTTGCCCGGCCCCACCAATCACACGTGGGGATGGAGCGCTACGACGTACTCGACTTGGTATGGCCCACACTATGGTATGCCACATGGTAATGGTGGCGAATCTAGTAGCATATGCCTCAACGTCCCAACAAACAAACGAATATGCCTTGGAATAATCATAGGCCAATAATCATACTTAGCCGACGACGAGCCCACCGCTTGGAGTGAGCCAGTTGTGGCGGAGCATCCCATTTCCCTGCGGCGACACCACCTCCTCGGGGCAATCTAGTCTCGGCCCGGCGAGCGAGCGGTAGATCAAGCACTGGATTGGATCCCGGCGCGTGCACTCGACATTGCGGTACTTCTCCCCGCCCAGCACGTCCAATTTCCCGTAGTCGTCCATCCTGAATCCCTGGATCCACATGAGCTTGAGGTCCTCCATGCATCCCACGCCGCGCAGCAGCCCATCGTCGGTGAAGGGGCAGTCGCGGATCTCCAGCCGCTGGAGGCGCTTGCAGCCCCGCGCGATGGCCAGGAAGCCGGCATCGCTGTCGCCACAGCAGCCGAGGAGCAAGGCCTTGAGGTTTGCGCCGCGGTGGCCGATCCGGACGAGGCCGTGGTCGGACAGCGCGCCGGGGCGGACGTAGATGCACAGGCGCGACAGCCGGTGGCAGCCGCGCATGAGCTCGTCGAAGCCGGCGTCCAGCGGCAGCTCGGTCATGCTGCTCAGATCGTTGGCCTCGGTGAGGATGAGGCGGAAGTCGCGGAGGTCGGGGCAGCCGCTGCCCACCGCGGCCAGAGCCTGGTTGGACATGTCCGCGACGTAGATGGCCAGCTTCTCGAGCTTGGAGCAGCCGCGAGCCAGGGCCATGAGACCCGTGTGTGACACCGAGGTCCCCTCGTCGTTGTGGTCCTCGATCCGGACCTTGCGAAGATCCTTGCAGCATTCGCCCACAATGGCCAGGCCTTCATCGCCGATGACTGTCCGCACCTGGTTTTCCCGTCAACCATTGCCGCCATAGCCATGCATGCACGTACGTGACATGAGTTATGATCAATCACCGACTCTGTATACCTGAAGGTTTTGGAGCCTGGTACAGCAGCGGAGGAGGGCGTGGTGCTGTTCCGCCTCGATGGAGGTAGTGGTCATGAGATCCAGCTTGAGGAGCTGCGCCGCCACGGAGGTGTAGAGCGGGACAGGGATATCCCCCGAGATGCTGGTGAGATTTCTGGGTAGCAGCGCTCTCATTGTTTGCTGGCCTGTGCTGCTGGTGCTCTGATCGATCTCTTCCTGATCGTCTTCCTCTTGCGCGGTGAGGAAGATGCCCAGCTCCCGGAGCGATGTGGACGACGCCAGGGCCTTCCTCAGCCCATCGCCCAGCCCGTCCTCGCCCTCCACCAGCTTGAGGGACGTCAGGTTTGGGCACTTCTCGATGATGGTTCTCACGTCCTCCACGTTCACCTTGGAGATGCCAATGGCGAGCTGGAAATCGAGCACCTCGAGCACCCGGTTGTGGAGCGCCAGCTCGTTGAGCCACTGCCCGCCCTCGTCCGAGACGTAGCTGTTCTCCACGTAGAGCACCTTGAGGCACCTAGATAGAGTGGATCCAATTCAAATCAATCAGGAGCTATATCATCTTAGAGCTTACTTGCAGGATCCAGTGATGGCTCGCAGGCCGGTGGTGGAGAAGCCGGAGCAAAAGTCGAGCTTGAGCGTCTCGAGGCTGGCGGCGTAGGCGGTGGCGACGGCGGAGAGGTCCTGGTCGCGGACTTCCATGCGGCGGAGATGGAGCGCAGAGAGCTGCGGGTAGGCGGGCCCAATGTTTTCAAGCCAGGGGTGGACATGACCCCCCCAGTTGTGGGGAAGGAGATCAAACTCGTAGGCCCTCGGCTTGGCCTTGAGCTTGAGGCTCCGGAGGTTGGGGAAGCGGCGAGTGAGCGTAGCGGGCGACACCGAGTAGACGAAGGCCACATAGACGTGCTTGCGCGTCTCCCTGTCCATGGCGTGCCACTGGCGGCACACCTCGGACATCGCCCGCCTCTCCGCGGGGCTGTCCACCATTCCAAAGATGATGCTAAGCACGCTCTCCAGCAGCAACGGATGCTCGCACACTTGATCGATGATGCTCGCATCGCCATCCCTGCTGTTCCTCTGCCTGGTCCTGCTGCAGCAGCTACGTTCGCCCATTCTGTGGCCTTCTCGGATCTGGAGCGCGCTTAGATCTAAGCTCTACATCGCCCTAGCTACAGTGCTGGACGAGACAGCGCCCAGTCTCCTAGATTCAGTCTAGCTGTACTCTACCTTGAATGGATCCATGGATCCAGCCTTCGAAGCTTCTCGATCTGCTGCTTCTCCGTTAGCGCGCGGAATCAGCCCAGCCCGACACTATCCCGTGGTTGACTCTGATATTCGATCTCGGATATGGCCACGTGGCACCTCCTATAACCACTGTGCTTCCCACCACACAAATTTAGGGTTCTTGACTAGGAGCGTTGACTAGCTCATACATGTGGAAGTGTTCTTCGTCTCTTTCTCCGCGCTTTTGGATACCAACGCCATCTTGGGTCCCTCCGGATCTCCTCCTCGCTCCTCTCTCTTGCCTGGATCGATCGCCCAGTTCGTCGCTATGGCTCGCGGCGGCCAAGGGATGCGGGATTGCCAAGGAGGTCGAGATTGGGAGGAATCTCGAGCTCCACAGGGGCGCCCAGCGATGGGGCCTCGATGCGATGGTGGCGAGTAACGCGCTCATCAGCATGTACGCGAAATGTGGGAGCGTGACGGATGCGCGCGTGGTTTTCGATGGCATGCGCCGGCGGGATGTGGTGTCGTGGACGGCTCTCATTCTTGGCTATGTCGAGTCCGGGCAGGAAGAGGTGGCGCTCGCCTTGTTCTCGCGATCGCGATCGAGAGGGGAAGGAGGCTCTGGCTCGTCGTATCCTTGTGTTCCAGATGCTCGCCTCTTTGTCGCGGCTTTGAAAGCTTGCACGAGTCTGATCACGAGAGAGGAAGAAGATGGTGCTGGAATTAATGACTGTGATCGCTACAGGATCCTGGAAACTGGCAATGCCATTCACCACAACGCAGTTGCCAGCGGCCACGCCTCCAATCTCTTCGTCCAAAACTCGCTGCTGGCAGTGTACGCCAAGTGTGGGAGCTTGGCGAGCGCGACCAGGATCTTCGAGGCCATGGCGGGTCATCGAGACGTGGTGTCGTGGAACTCGCTCATGCTCGGCTACGTAGACAGCGGCGAGCCACGCCTGGCATTGGACTTGTTTGCTCGAATGACGCAACGCTCCGTCGCCATCTCGCCGGACGCCAGGACTTTCCTCATCGCGATCAAGGCTTGCGCTGGGCTCGCAGCCGCCGAGGAGGGCGAGCTCCTTGCCGATGGAAAGCTAGCCAAGACGAAAGCGCTGGAATCGAGCATGGCGATTCACTCGCAGGCTCGCGCGTGCTCCCACACGGACATGTTCCTTGCCAACGCTCTGGTGACCAGCTATGCCAAGTGTGGGAGCCTGCTGGACGCTCGCGCGGCGTTTGACAAGGCTGTGTGTCACGACGTTGTCTCCTGGAATGCTTTGATCCTTGGCTGTGCCGAGAACGAGGAACCCGCGATGGCACTCGAGCTCCAGTCGCGAATGGAGGTTCCTTGCAAGCCCAATGCGCCAACCTTCGTGGCGGCGCTCAAGGCTTGCTCGATCATGGCCGCCAACGAAGATCTCGAGCCTCGCGACGCGAAGAAGAAGCAGCAAAGAACTAGAGCTGCTACACTCGAGCGAGGACGTGTTCTTCATTCCCAGATAGTTTCCTGTCGCTGCGAGGCAGACGTCTTCGTGGTCAGCGCGCTCGTTGACATGTACGCCAAGTGTGGAAGCATGGGCGATGCTCGGCGAGTGTTTGAGGAGACTTCCAGCCGCTCCAGGAACGTGGTTACTTGGAACTCGATCATACTGGGCTATGCCGACAATGGAGACGCGAGCTCGGCGCTGGAGCTGCTCGGCCGTATGGGTCTCGAAGGAGAGTGTCCGGCCCCGAATGCTTTGACGTTTGCTGCTGCTCTCAAGGCTGGTTGCGATGGTGCCGCCGGCTTGGAGACTGTCAAGGCGATCCACGCTCACGTAAGCCGGAGTGGAATGGAGGACGAGATCGTACAAACTTCGCTCGTCGATAGCTATGGCAAATGCGGTAGCATTGGCGACTGCGAGCTTGTCTTTGGTGGCCTGGTTCCATCCAGAAACTCCGTGACTTGGAACGCGCTCTTGGCAGGGCACAGTCGAGTGGGAGCTTTCCGCCGGACCGTGGAACTCTTTCATCAGATGCTGGAGGAGACAGTCCCGGTGAGCAGCGTCACCTTTGTGTGCCTTCTCACTGCTTGCAGTCACGCTGGCCTGGTCGACACTGGCCGCCGGTACTTCGAGCTCATGGTGTCCACCTTTGGAGTGAGTCCAAGCTTGGAGCACTACCACTGCCTGGTTGATATGCTTGGTCGCGCTAACAGGATCAAGGAGGCCGTGGATGTGGTCGCTGCGATGCCTTTCAAACCCACTGTTGTCACTTGGACGACTGTTCTAAGCGCCTGTTGGAAGTGGAGAGACGTAGAACAAGGAAGGATGGCTTTTGAGAAGTTGGTGAGGCTGGACGGGAGGGACGATGCAGCTTGTTTGTTGATGGCAAAGCTCTATGGAAGCAAAGGAATGTGGGAGGAGCAACTCAAGATACAAGCCTTTAGCTGCAGAGAGATAGATAGCAATGCTCAGTATCATGGGTGATAACGCAATTCCGGATAAGTATTTGTGAAAACTGACAAGACGAAATGACCCTGGACGGGATAGCAAAATTCCCGATAGAAACTACAAGCAAATGGGGAAAACTGTCATACACCTCATCACGATCCAATGTAGAGTACTGGGACCAGTCCACTGATTTTGCCATCTCGCCCAGGCTTCTTCTTTCGTACCTGTATATGCGCGTTAGCTGTGGGCTGATAAGGTTTGAACAAACTTACGTGATACCAGCCGTCCACTTCGTATTCGATTTCCAGGTCCTCGCCAGAGACTATACTTAACTGCACGGCAGTAGACTTGATTAGCACTTTTGTTCAAAGGTGTACCTTGCTGACGTACCTCCTCGTCACCACCCGCGGTGAAGTCGTATAAGGCTCTGCCGGACTGAGTCCCGTCTTGAAGGGATGCGTGGCTGGGATTCTCCGACGAAAAACTGTCCTGCCTTCCAAATCTAGATTGCCAAGATTCCTCCTGTAGATTTCGCGGCAACGTCAGTAAGTACAGATTAAGAGTTCACAAACCTCGCTTCTTGAAGGTTCGTCTTCGTTGAGTGAAGATAGTGTAGAAGGTTCAGGCCTTGGCTCCTCCTGCGTCCGAACCCAAATTTTCAAGGTGAAACTCAAAATACAAAGTCATACCCATCTTTGTTGTTGGCCGAACCCAGGTGCTGTGGGATTGTTGAACAGAGAGGGATATCTGGTACTGCCATAGCGTGACGACGCAGATGTTTCGAAAGATGCTGTTGACTCTGGGGAGGAAGACCCAGAGGAACGATCATCTACAGTCTGGGGGCACGTATTTAGTTAGTGACTGCCACACATAAAACTGCAAATGGCAAACCTCATCGTCCGATGCCTCCAGCAGCGTTTTCGCCCACATGTCGTCGTAGCTGATGGACTGTCGAGCAGTCGGATTCTCCTCCACTTCGGGAGCATCTGTACCCTTTCCACCAAGAAAGTCGTTTACCTGAAAACATAAACGCGGTCAGAACCATACAAGACGAAAACTGGACTTCTTCGTTAACCAGATCTGCCGCCCGAGGACTCGGAGTCCATAAAGTATCCGAAACATTTGGTTTGTCTTCTTCTATTTGAACTGGAGGATACTCGGGTTGCGCTCCAGCGTAGGGAAGCAAGTCCGCAATGCCTGTCGCTACAGCTGGATCATTATACCCAGTAGCAACATCGATGTGATGCCTTTTGCAATAAATATCTATCAAATTCGCGCTGCTTGCCACGAAAGCGTTAGTCCCCAGAGATACAGATAACTGAAACATACCTTGTGGGGCCAAGAGGCAAGTATTTTGATCGAGGAACAAAACAAAAAAGAGATACTAGATCTAGTAACCTCTCGTGAGTTTCATAAAGTACCCGTAGCTCATCATCGCTCCATTCTTGCTTTGCATTGTCATGTTGTCGCATATCCCTGAAACAGCACCTATGAGTTGCGTAAACACCAAACGAAAGCAGATACATACTTGATAAGCTGATCCTGAGCCTTGTACATTTCATCTAGCACCCGAAGCATTGGAGCGAGTATTGAGCTGAGACCTGTGCCACTAGCGCCTTGGTCTTCACCGTTGCTCACGTGCAAGTCGGAAAATTTGTCCAATGCATGTCCTTTAGCAAGTGCATCCAGAAACTCGTAGATTTGTAGCCTGTAAGGCTCACCCGACCTTATAGCGATCGTGATCAATGCTTGCGCGGCAACGATTCTCACCTGGTCAAGAACGATGTCGATCAAACGTTAGTAATAAGGAAGAAAAGAAACTAAGAACGTGTACCTCCCAGCTGCCACTTGAGGCACATCTTTGGAGGCGGGTCAAAGCCCCGGCAAGCGTAGGATTTCTGGAGCTTGCAGCAGCCACCATTTTGTCTCCATCCAGCATCATCAACGCTGTTCCTGGAGGTGTTTTAGATTCCCATGCGTACTCTGCTGCAGCGTAGTTGGCATTCTCACCCAGAAACCACACCTGAGTGACGCAGTGTCAACTAGAGTCAAAAAGGATTTTCCATACCGCAGCCTGAACAAGTCGCAGAAGTGCTGTTGCAGCCTTTGGATCAAATGCAGATATTCTGTCCAGCAAGGAAGAGGACTTCATCACCACTGGTGCGGGCGGTGGAAGGTCCAGTACAATAGTGACAGCCTCCAAAGCGGTGTGCTTTCCAGTTGGGCCACAACCAACCAGACATGTCTACAAAAGTAACGAAGGAATATAGACAATGCACAAAACTCAGTGCTAACCTTCCAAAGAAGCTGCAAGACGTCCGCATCAATTTTACCAGGTACTTTGGTTGCGAACAGCCGTGAAATGTCCAGTAAGATGACTGCCATGTCAGGTGTGGCCTGGAAACAACCGGTCAGTAAAATGCAAAATCCGAAAGTCTTTGGATAACCTTGAAACGAGCATGCAATGTGAGTAGTATATCACTCAAAAGCGATGCAGGCCATGACGGATCAGAGAGCTCGCCCGCTATTATAGACTTTAATTCCTCGACGGATTCGTCAGGTCTTTGCATCCAGATCATGGCTTTGATGGCAGCTGCACGCACATAGACGCATTCACATGCGACAGTGGTGCGTACAGCCTCCATCAACGAGGACAACATGCTGGATATAGTTTCTCTTGCAGAAGAAAGAGATGAAACTTTCGACCGACCACCTGCAAGGGTCTTGAGTTGTCATCCATACTCATACTCAGGTGATTACCTTCAGCATCTCCCACATCTTCAGTTAAACCATTCTCAATGAAGCTCTCGGGGTAACTGTCTTCGTTTACGGATACACCGTGCGTAAAGGCTGCCGCTCGACTTCTTCCTATTTCCATGATAATCCTGGCAGCAGCATGAAGTACGGGTCTTGAATGGCTCCGAAGGGCAGATTCCAGCCTGCATCAAACGTCATCTGGTTTCACTTGCAGACAACAAAAACGTTACCTTCTCATAACCAGCTTGATGAGTGCTTGAGGTCTTCGAGGTCTTGGCATGGTTCGATCTCTAGGTAGCTTTGCAGGTTGTCCATCCTGAGAACCTCCATCCTTAATAGGAGAATTGTCTTTCAGTGGATTGAAAGAAGTATCCGGAAATCTCAAAATTGCAGATGCCAAAACTGTCCATCCATTTGCACGTTCTGCAGAACTGTAGCAAGAATCAATAGAATGTCTAGCTAACATCAAAAGAGACTTCAAGTCTTGCCTTTCAGTGTTACTAAATTTCCCCAAAATGCAGCTGATTGCTTCAAAGCAAACTCTTTCACTAGGATCCAGAAGAAGCTGGTATAATATAGTAGTGAACTGAGATCTGAGATCCGGTACTTCTGTAGAAAAGAACACAATGGGAGTTCGGAAAACAAAGATAATAAAAGGAAACCCAAACCATCTAATACGCGAGCTCTCGAAAGTACGTAGCAAAGTCGAGCGAGGTATACACGGGCCATAACATCATGAATTTGCAAAACCTCCTGTAATGATCCTATAAAGAAAAAAACAAGAAAAAAACGACTGGTTGAGCAAAATTTCAACTTCACTCCATATAGACTCACCTCCTGCAAGTGATAGCTTTGCTACAAGAGAGAAAATTAAAATTGTTAACTTCTAACATCATGAACCCGGGATCTTACCGACAGCCATTGCGACTCCGTAAGGATCCCTCGGCGCCATTTCTGAGACCATTGCCAAGGCATGTCTCACTCCCACGGGATCGGCACACGCTATCCTGCAACAAATCATGGCTTAAGCGTTGCCTTTGAGAACGTCTGAATGTTTACCCTTGTACGGCACGGTGCAAGAAAGCGGGATTCCCTTGGTCTATTGGAAGCTTTTGCAAAGCACTCAGCGCGGCATATTGTAAGTTGCTTCGTAAAGCAGACTGAGACAGGCATCGTTGTATAAACTGGACACTAACAGTGAAGCTACTCACCTCTCTATCCAAAGTTTGTCGACCAAACATTCCCCTTTTCTTTCGTATTTTCCCTGCATCTGCAACCTGAAAACAAAACCGTTCGATTAAAACTGCACAATGGTCGCTCATTACCTTGTCCAAAATGCCAAAAACAATCTCGTACAACTTTGTCACGACATCCTCATTAGTTGAAGCGCAAGTCAAGGCCTTCAATGCAGCAATCCGCCGGGGGTGAACTGTGCTGTGGCACATTAGAGCATTGAAGGAGTAGAAGCAACACAGAAGAAAGAGAGCAAGAGTTAGCAACACGTACCGGCAGGATCAGGGGTGGACGCCTCGGCAGCCAGAAGTTCAATAATACGAGGAACTACATCGGCTCTTGTCACACCTCCCGCAACACTCATGTCCGCTAGAGCATCCCAATTGGGAGTTGGAATGCCGCCTCCAGGAACAACACCGTGCGAATCAGCTTCCCCAAGTATTCGTGAGAGGAAGTAGTAGACATATCTCAAAACTTGCCGATCATCAGCTTGTTGGTGGAGCTACAACCAAGCAAGACACAAGTTGGAATTTCTAGACAAATTTCTAGACATACCATGATCAGAGATGGCGCTAGTGACGGATCCACTGAGCTATACACAGCGAGCTTGGGAAAGACGTGATTGACGAGCTGCCTTTGAGGTGCTTTCTATTTGGCCAAGGAGAGAGTAAGTCGCTAGAGAAGAGAAAAAATTTGAGCGATACCTGATCCGACGTCGCTGCGAGCTCGTGCAGAGACCTGGCGAGCTGGGAATATGACAACGGCTGCAAAACAACACGGAGGAAATCCTCAAAAATCTCAAATCTCGCAGCAATGAGGCAGATCTTACCTTCTTCTGCTTGGGAGCGATTGTCTTGACTGGAGACGGCAAAATCTTGCTAGGCGATAGCAAGCCATCGCCGGGCAGCTGCAATAAATTGGGCAAGCTCGACTTTTTGAAAGATCTGCGCCCGGCAGTGAAGCCTCCACCCGAGCCCGACGACGCCGAGGAGGGAGCAGGGGATGGCGCGACTGGATCCGCCGAGATGAGATCCATGAGCGACGAC